CGAAGTGTATTATTATTAATATTTTATAGTCATATTAATATATAAACACAAAACACCTCTAAAACAATTGCATAAAACCTGGATTTTTTGTTTTATTTTAGATTTTTACTGCATTTCCCCAGTGTGGCTCACCTTCAGCTTGTCGAAGTGTATTATTATTAATATTTTATAGTCATATTAATATATAAACACAAAACACCTCTAAAACAATTGCATAAAACCTGGATTTTTTGTTTTATTTTAGATTTTTACTGCATTTCCCCAGTGTGGCTCACCTTCAGCTTGTCGAAGTGTATTATTATTAATATTTTATAGTCATATTGATATATAATCACAAAACACCTCTAAAACAATCGCATAAAACCTGGATTTTTTGTTTTATTTTAGATTTTACTGCATTTCCCCAGTGTGGCTCACCTTCAGCTTGTCGAATCATATTATTATTAATATTTTATAGTCATATTGATATAAAAATCACAAAACACCTCTAAAACAATCACATAAAACCCGGATTTTTTGTTTTATTTTAGATTTTTACTGCATTTCCCCAGTGTGGCTCACCTTCAGCTTGTCGAAGTGTATTATTATTAATATTTTATAGTCATATTAATATATAAACACAAAACACCTCTAAAACAATCGCATAAAACCCGGATTTTTTGTTTTATTTTAGATTTTTACTGCATTTCCCCAGTGTGGCTCACCTTCAGCTTGTCGAAGTGTATTATTATTAATATTTTATAGTCATATTAATACATAAACACAAAACACCTCTAAAACAATGGCATAAAACCTGGATTTTTTGTTTTATTTTAGATTTTTACTGCATTTCCCCAGTGTGGCTCACCTTCAGCTTGTCGAAGTGTATTATTATTAATATTTTATAGTCATATTGATATAAAAATCACAAAACACCTCTAAAACAATCACATAAAACCCGGATTTTTTGTTTTATTTTAGATTTTTACTGCATTTCCCCAGTGTGGCTCACCTTCAGCTTGTCGAAGTGTATTATTATTAATATTTTATAGTCATATTAATATATAAACACAAAACACCTCTAAAACAATGGCATAAAACCTGGATTTTTTGTTTTATTTTAGATTTTTACTGCATTTCCCCAGTGTGGCTCACCTTCAGCTTGTCGAAGTGTGTTATTATTAATATTTTATAGTCATATTAATATATAAACACAAAACACCTCTAAAACAATTGCATAAAACCTGGATTTTTTGTTTTATTTTAGATTTTTACTGCATTTCCCCAGTGTGGCTCACCTTCAGCTTGTCGAATCATATTATTATTAATATTTTATAGTCATATTGATATATAATCACAAAACACCTCTAAAACAATCGCATAAAACCTGGATTTTTTGTTTTATTTTAGATTTTTACTGCATTTCCCCAGTGTGGCTCACCTTCAGCTTGTCGAAGTGTATTATTATTAATATTTTATAGTCATATTAATATATAAACACAAAACACCTCTAAAACAATCGCATAAAACCCGGATTTTTTGTTTTATTTTAGATTTTTACTGCATTTCCCCAGTGTGGCTCACCTTCAGCTTGTCGAAGTGTATTATTATTAATATTTTATAGTCATATTAATATATAAACACAAAACACCTCTAAAACAATTGCATAAAACCTGGATTTTTTGTTTTATTTTTTAGATTTTTACTGCATTTCCCCAGTGTGGCTCACCTTCAGCTTGTCGAAGTGTATTATTATTAATATTTTATAGTCATATTAATACATAAACACAAAACACCTCTAAAACAATGGCATAAAACCTGGATTTTTTGTTTTATTTTAGATTTTTACTGCATTTCCCCAGTGTGGCTCACCTTCAGCTTGTTGAAGTGTATTATTATTAATATTTTATAGTCATATTAATACATAAACACAAAACACCTCTAAAACAATGGCATAAAACCTGGATTTTTTGTTTTATTTTAGATTTTTACTGCATTTCCCCAGTGTGGCTCACCTTCAGCTTGTCGAAGTGTATTATTATTAATATTTTATAGTCATATTAATATATAAACACAAAACACCTCTAAAACAATTGCATAAAACCTGGATTTTTTGTTTTATTTTAGATTTTTACTGCATTTCCCCAGTGTGGCTCACCTTCAGCTTGTCGAAGTGTATTATTATTAATACTTTATTGTCATATTAATATATAAACACAAAACACCTCTAAAACAATTGCATAAAACCTGGATTTTTTGTTTTATTTTAGATTTTTACTGCATTTCCCCAGTGTGGCTCACCTTCAGCTTGTCGAAGTGTATTATTATTAATATTTTATAGTCATATTAATATATAAACACAAAACACCTCTAAAACAATTGCATAAAACCTGGATTTTTTGTTTTATTTTAGATTTTTACTGCATTTCCCCAGTGTGGCTCACCTTCAGCTTGTTGAATCGTATTATTATTAATATTTTATAGTCATATTGATATATAATCACAAAAACACCTCTAAAACAATCACATAAAACCCGGATTTTTTGTTTTATTTTAGATTTTTACTGCATTTCCCCAGTGTGGCTCACCTTCAGCTTGTCGAAGTGTATTATTATTAATATTTTATAGTCATATTAATATATAAACACAAAACACCTCTAAAACAATTGCATAAAACCTGGATTTTTTGTTTTATTTTAGATTTTTACTGCATTTCCCCAGTGTGGCTCACCTTCAGCTTGTCGAATCATATTATTATTAATATTTTATAGTCATATTGATATATAATCACAAAACACCTCTAAAACAATCGCATAAAACCTGGATTTTTTGTTTTATTTTAGATTTTTACTGCATTTCCCCAGTGTGGCTCACCTTCAGCTTGTCGAAGTGTATTATTATTAATATTTTATAGTCATATTAATATATAAACACAAAACACCTCTAAAACAATCGCATAAAACCCGGATTTTTTGTTTTATTTTAGATTTTTACTGCATTTCCCCAGTGTGGCTCACCTTCAGCTTGTCGAAGTGTATTATTATTAATATTTTATAGTCATATTAATATATAAACACAAAACACCTCTAAAACAATTGCATAAAACCTGGATTTTTTGTTTTATTTTTGATTTTTACTGCATTTCCCCAGTGTGGCTCACCTTCAGCTTGTCGAAGTGTATTATTATTAATATTTTATAGTCATATTAATATATAAACACAAAACACCTCTAAAACAATTGCATAAAACCTGGATTTTTTGTTTTATTTTAGATTTTTACTGCATTTCCCCAGTGTGGCTCACCTTCAGCTTGTCGAAGTGTATTATTATTAATACTTTATTGTCATATTAATATATAAACACAAAACACCTCTAAAACAATTGCATAAAACCTGGATTTTTTGTTTTATTTTAGATTTTTACTGCATTTCCCCAGTGTGGCTCACCTTCAGCTTGTCGAAGTGTATTATTATTAATATTTTATAGTCATATTAATATATAAACACAAAACACCTCTAAAACAATTGCATAAAACCTGGATTTTTTGTTTTATTTTAGATTTTTACTGCATTTCCCCAGTGTGGCTCACCTTCAGCTTGTTGAATCGTATTATTATTAATATTTTATAGTCATATTGATATATAATCACAAAAACACCTCTAAAACAATCACATAAAACCCGGATTTTTTGTTTTATTTTAGATTTTTACTGCATTTCCCCAGTGTGGCTCACCTTCAGCTTGTCGAAGTGTATTATTATTAATATTTTATAGTCATATTAATATATAAACACAAAACACCTCTAAAACAACTGCATAAAACCTGGATTTTTTGTTTTATTTTAGATTTTTACTGCATTTCCCCAGTGTGGCTCACCTTCAGCTTGTCGAATCATATTATTATTAATATTTTATAGTCATATTGATATATAATCACAAAACACCTCTAAAACAATTGCATAAAACCTGGATTTTTTGTTTTATTTTAGATTTTTACTGCATTTCCCCAGTGTGGCTCACCTTCAGCTTGTCGAAGTGTATTATTATTAATATTTTATAGTCATATTAATATATAAACACAAAACACCTCTAAAACAATCGCATAAAACCCGTATTTTTTGTTTTATTTTAGATTTTTACTGCATTTCCCCAGTGTGGCTCACCTTCAGCTTGTCGAAGTGTATTATTATTAATATTTTATAGTCATATTAATATATAAACACAAAACACCTCTAAAACAATTGCATAAAACCTGGATTTTTTGTTTTATTTTAGATTTTTACTGCATTTCCCCAGTGTGGCTCACCTTCAGCTTGTCGAAGTGTATTATTATTAATACTTTATAGTCATATTAATTTATAAACACAAAACACCTCTAAAACAATTGCATAAAACCTGGATTTTTTGTTTTATTTTAGATTTTTACTGCATTTCCCCAGTGTGGCTCACCTTCAGCTTGTCGAAGTGTATTATTATTAATATTTTATAGTCATATTAATATATAAACACAAAACACCTCTAAAACAATGGCATAAAACCTGGAATTTTAGTTTTATTTTAGATTTTTACTGCATTTCCCCAGTGTGGCTCACCTTCAGCTTGTCGAAGTGTATTATTATTAATATTTTATAGTCATATTAATATATAAACACAAAACACCTCTAAAACAATAGCATAAAACCTGGATTTTTTGTTTTATTTTAGATTTTTACTGCATTTCCCCAGTGTGGCTCACCTTCAGCTTGTCGAAGTGTATTATTATTAATATTTTGTAGTCATATTGATATATAATCACAAAAACACCTCTAAAACAATCACATAAAACCTGGATTTTTTGTTTTATTTTAGATTTTTACTGCATTTCCCCAGTGTGGCTCACCTTCAGCTTGTCGAATTGTATTATTATAAATATTTTATAGTCATATTGATATATAATCACAAAACACCTCTAAAACAATCACATAAAACCTGGATTTTTTGTTTTATTTTAGATTTTTACTGCATTTCCCCAGTGTGGCTCACCTTCAGCTTGTCGAAGCGCTCCCCCAGCGCCGCCACCTGGTGCTCTCGGTGATGCCCGACCAGTTTACACAGAGAGCAGATCAGCTGCTCATCCGTCACACAGTACATGTTGACCTTCTCCTCCGCGTGTTCGGCACAGGCCAGTCCTCGGACCCGAGCGTCCGGTACCGGCTCCGTCAGCCGGTGACCCGTGAACGGCTTCTTGTTAGGGTGCGTGGCCCGCAGGCACTCCTGGCAGTACGAGACCTCACAGGTCACGCAGGTCTTCAGCGCCTCCTGGGGCGGGTCGGTCTCGCAGAACTGGCACTGGACCGGGGAACTCATGCTCGTGCGCCGGGTCTCGCTCGGGGAGTTCGGGCCGCTCAGCGAGGCCTTCTGGAAGCGCTCGATGATGTTCTGCAGAGTCACGTTGCGCTTGAGCCCGTCTAGGCCCTGCGGGTCGAGGGCGATGGCATATCGGCAGGTGGGACACTGGAAAGCGGAGACGGGTTTGGACTCGTCGGATGAGCTTCGGTGGGACACCAGGATCCGGTGAGCACAGTTAAAGCACAGGCTGTGGGCGCAGGGCAGAAGAAGAGGATCCTCGAACAGCTCCAGACAGATTGGGCAAGTCAACTCCGACTCCAGTGTGTCCATCTTCAATAAAGCGATCGGGACGCCAGCGAAACCCAGGGAAGCCGTTTAGCCGTCTGTGGAGGAATCAAAGATGGCTTTACTTTTGCTTCAACACTCAAAACAGTCATCGGACCAGTGGTACACATCCATTCAAGCACTTAAACCGGTGAAAAATGACAGTAAAGACATTTATAATGATACAAAAGATTATATTTCAAATAAATGCTGAACTTTCTATTCATCAAAGAATCCTGAAAAAAAAAATGAATATTGATAATAATCATAAATGTTTCTTGAGCCTCATATCATCATATTAGAATGAAAAGAGCCGTTTAGCCGTCTGTGAACCGATGAAATATTGCTTTATTTTTGGTTTAACATTCAAAACAGTCATCGGACCAGTGGTACACATTCATTCAAACACTAAAACGGATCAAAAGTTACAGTAAAGACTTAAAAGGAATAAATTACACTTTACTATATATTCACATAGAAAACAGCTGTTTTAAATTCTAATAATATTCCACTGTTTTACTGTATTTTTGATCAATCAATTAAATACTGCCTTGGCTTTGGCTTTGGTGAGACTTCTTTTAGAAAATCTTGCCGACCTCCACTTTTTGAGCGGCAGTGTATTTCGCCTCACAAACCACTCAAAGCTTTCATGACTCATTTATATTTGATAATCACAGGCTTTAGGAAAGAAAAAGCTCAAGTGAGAGCTCTTTATCCGGCTACTCCAATGTTCCTCCGGAGAAAAGATCCCACAGGAAAATCCTCCAGTGTTTCAGAAGAGATCTCAAGATGAACTCAAGCTCAAGCATTTCTCATTAAATGAGAATCCACATTCATTTTAAATCTAATACTCTTACTGGATGCGTTCAATCCATCTCATGTAGTCCAATAAAGATTGCTTAATTATTTTTGAGTACTTAACTTTATTAGTATTGCAAAACCACCGGACAAATTTTAGTTATACGGACGTTTCGGGAATCCTCAATATCTCAGGATGATCCGAGGTGCTTGTCAAGGCAAACATTTTGCACATACTTGTTCCTTATAAAACTTAAGTCCAAATGTAATGATCAAGATTGGGAAAGTGCAGTTTGGGAAAGTCCCCCTATTATGCTTTTTAGGATATTCCCTTTCATGTAGTGTGTGATAAAGCTGTTTGTGAATGTACAAGTTTCAAAGGTCAAAAGCGATTCTGAATTGAAACGAGTCGTCAGTAATTCAGTCTCACTTCCTACTGAAATTAGCATAATGGCAGTCTGAGGTGTTGATTGGCTGAACAGCGTCTCTTAGCCCCGCCCTCAAACACTAGTGTATCTGAGACTGGGAGAGTTCGGCTCGTGTTGTTCGTGTCAAGGAGACGCTGTTTTCTGAGATTGAGACGGTGAAACCCACGCCATCGTCACTGTTCGTATCACTGTGATCAAGAGCTGAGATTCAGATATGATAATGAGCGTTTGCTCTCTGACCAATCACAGCAGAGCAGCTCTCAGAGAGGCGGGGCTTAGAGAGACTGAATCTTTAATCGAAGCGTTTCAGACACTGAGAGAAAAGAGCTGATTTTTCGACCTTAGATGCAGTAAATCTTTTGTTAGGAACCTTTAAAACTGCATAATAGGGGCACCCTAACTCTTTTTGAGTTGATTATCTCTGGTTGGAGCAACCTAAAATTTCCACAGATGAATTATAGTGTAAAATTGAGATTTTACAACCAACCAAAATCCAACTTCGAAGCAATCAACATTACAATTTTTGGACCACTTAAAAATAGACAGAACCAGTGACTGACAACTATTGACTCATTTAATGTGGTTTTATTTCCCACAGGGAGTTTTGGGAGAAACATCTGAAATTCGTTGATACTTCCTAAACTATTAAACAGCAACAAATGCAAACACAGGGAATATTTGCATATGTCATTAAAGCACGGGGCCGGTTAGCATTGCGTTTATGACTGTGTAATATTATAATATGATCACGTCAGAGAGCTTGACGGCTCAGCCGAGCAGAACCTCGACTCTTTGTTTGGGAGCAGATGCACTGATGTCCATCACACTCAATCACACGCATTCCCATCACACACTCATTATGAAGCTCGTTACTCCACAGTGACCTGTGAAGATCCAGTAATTACTGTTCCAAAGCCATCGCCAAACAAAGGGCCGATTGTTTGAAGTTAATACAATATCTGTACAAATGTGCACAGAAACAGTTGCCTGCAGTAAACAATGACCTTCGTTTATTCTGTGACGAATCTAAACCACAGTAAAGAAGTTCAAATAAATCATGCATTAGTTTATATGGAATACACATACTGTATTATCATTATCAACCCTCCTTTAATCCAAATTATGCACAAAAATGCCCCTGGTTTAATATTTCACATTTTAGAATAATAACCCAAGCCAAGAACCCTCAATAATACAATATAATAAATAATACAAATGCATGTGAATTATGTAAAGACCAAACAGCAGCTGTGTACCCCATTTCTACTCTAAACGATGCCCTAAAAGATAATTAATCATAAGATTAGTTTGTTATTATGTCCATGAGTAAGATGTGAGGATTAAACAGTATTAAATCGAAGCATCAGGAGGAATTAATGTTTAACTGTTAAAATCCCTTCAGAGCAACAGACCAAAAACAATCTTCGGTTACACTTTATTTTAAGGTGGTTTTGTTACACTGTATTACACACTGAAGTACTGAGTAATATTAACTACATCATGTACATACAATAGGGTTTGTTGCATGTAATTATTCATAATTAATAGTTATTATTAGCTACTACAGTAACTAGTGTGTAACAATGCCATTGTAAATTAAAGTGTTATCCAATCTTCTATTACTCTAATCATTCGTTGACTTGACAATCGCAGTTTAGCAGAACAATATGGCCCATTTTCACAGGAATAACTTTAAACTCAGTAAAGTAACAGTTTCCCAAACCCTCTGAGTGCCACGCGATGCTTTACATTCAGACTAAAGATGCCCGCGGAATATTACACGGAGACAGAATCATATACAGAGTATCATACACTACAGTCTGCTGTCACACACACACACACACTCTCTCTCTCTACAGTAACGCAGGAGTGTTTCACCCACCGATGGATTTCGCGTCTCTTCGCGCTTCACAGCCATTTCCAGAACTTCTGTTCAGATTTCAGAAAGCTTGTTTTGTTCGGAGAAAAGCTCTTGTGGAAGAGCAAGAATTCCAGATGGTTCATTCCCACATAACACGCTTAATCCAAAGTCACTGCCAGTGCGAGACGCTGAACTCACTCACTCACACACACACACACTACAGAGGGAAGTCCGACCCATTTTCGCGAATCGGTTCTTTCGAACACATCGATTCAGTGAACCAGAGATTCTGTGATGCTTCTACGTCATCACGTAACCCTTGACATCACGGCGCGGTATTTCTAAAACATTCCAATAAATATGTAAGCATATCGGATTACTGGCTAAATATTTTAAACACAAATGTACATTTTTAAAATGTTTATTATATTCAGAATTAAATTAAATTGAATAATGAATTGAGTAATGAATTCGCAGATGCCCTCATTAAAATGAAAAATCAAAATGCAGTACAACTTTGTAATTTATTTGAATTATATAATCTGGTGAAGTTTTTATTATGAATTTAATTAACTTTATTTTAATTATATTCTATTGTAATTATTTAATTTTAGGTATTTTATGTTTATTTTATCATGGATTCAATCTGGTTCTGCCATTTTCTTCCTCTGTATTTTGACTGTTTATGCCATTTTGTTGTATTCAGATTTTGTATTCAATCAAAAAAAAGAAAGCATATCAGAGTTATTTTAGTGTCATGGATATAGTCTTTGTCAATATTCTGATTTAGACTTTATTTTTATATTTAGTTTGAATTTTTTTCATGTTTTTTTAACCATAAAGCTTATGTATTTTTTGTTTATTGTAATTACATTGATGTCAGTTCAGGTTATTGCAGCAAATATTCAGCAAAAACAAACAAACAAACAAACAAACAAACAAACAAACATAAAAGCACTTCAGGCCTCAACACTGCCGCCTTCAAACAGTTTGAAATGGAAAAAGGAAGAGTTTTGGTCAATATCAACATAAATAAATCCTTATTTTGTGACACAAATGAATGCAAAATATTTTATTAAACAGTAAACAGTAAACAAAATTATGAATACAGAAAATACAAGAATTATTTATAAACCATCTCACAAAATTAATTTGCATCTTTCAGATTTTGCATGTTCAAGTTGTAAATATTTCAGCACATTATAATTCCTAATATTTCTGCTATGTGACGATTATACAGCAAATTATCAATCAAATCCTTGCATGATTATCAAAATATGAATTATCAAAAACTAGTTAACTGTAAGTTGCATAACCAAATATTGTGAAAATTATATTTTAAAAGACAATACATTTTATGTGAAATAATGAGGCTATGTGAAAGTATTAATGATCTTAATATTGGCCAAAAATTACCTATATATTTAAAAGGCATGTGTATAGATAGTAAAATATTGTTAAAATTGTAAATTCCCAGAATTAACTATGGCCAGCACTAACATGTATAGATGTAATGACCTCAGTGTTTACTGTAATGTTTATCAAAAAACAAAACAAAAATACACTATGAATCACCGTGAGTCCGAAAGAGGTATTGACTGAAGAACCGTTCGTAATGATTCAAAACGATTCGTTAACTGAGTCATTTTGAGTGCGGTATTGTGAACTGGTTCATGAGCGGACTCGACTCAAAAAAATGATTCTTTGGTGAATCGTACATCACTAATAAACACACAGAGACTCCGAGGGAGAGAGAGAGAGTAAGAGTAAGTAAAGTCAGCACAACAGGAAAAGCTGCCTGATAATTCCAGGAAAAGCGACTCCGCCTAGAGAAAGAGTGGAAAGAGTTCGGAGAGAGTCAGTGTCTGTCTATCTCTCCATCAGCTTCTCTTCTGAGGACACAATGCTGGATCTGAGAGGGAATAAAACACATCTGACTGACAGTAAAGATTTATGTTAAAGTCTGCATCTCCCCCTCTCCACTCCTTCATCTCTCCTCTCCTCTCCTCTCCTTCATCTCTCTCCTCCTCTCCTCTCCTCCTCCCCTCTCCTTCCTCTCCTCCATCTCTACTCTCCTTCATCTCTCCTCTCCTCCTCTCCTCTCCTTCCTCTCCTCCTCTCCTCTCCTTCCTCTCCTCTCCTTCCTCTCCTCCCCTCTCCTTCATCTCTACTCTCCTTCATCTCTCCTCTCCTCTCCTCCTCTCCTCTCCTTCCTCTCCTTCCTCTCCTCCTCCCCTCTCCTTCCTCTCCTCTCCTCTCCTCTCCTTCATCTCTACTCTCCTCTCCTCCTCTCCTCTCCTTCCTCTCCTCCTCTCCTCTCCTTCCTCTCCTCCTCTCCTCTCCTTCCTCTCCTCCTCCCCTCTCCTTCATCTCTACTCTCCTCTCCTCCTCTCCTCTCCTTCCTCCCCTCCTCCCCTCTCCTTCATCTCTACAATCCTCTCCTCCTCTCCTCTCCTTCCTCTCCTCCACCCCTCTCCTTCCTCTCTCCTCCTCTCCTCTCCTTCATCTCTACAATCCTCTCCTCCTCTCCTCTCCTTCCTCTCCTCCACCCCTCTCCTTTCTCTCCTCCTCTCCTCTCCTTCCTCTCCTCCTCCCCTCTCCTTCATCTCTCCTCTCCTCTCCTTCATCTCTCCAGTCCTTCATCTCTCCTCTCCTCTCCTCCTCCCCTCTCCTTCATCTCTCCTCTCCTCTCCTTCATCTCTCCAGTCCTTCATCTCTCCTCTCCTCTCCTCTCCTCCTCCCCTCTCCTTCATCTCTCCTCTCCTTCATCTCTCCAGTCCTTCATCTCTCCTCTCCTCCTTCCTCCCCTCCTCCCCTCTCCTTCATCTCTACAATCCTCTCCTCCTCTCCTCTCCTTCCTCTCCTCCACCCCTCTCCTTCCTCTCTCCTCCTCTCCTCTCCTTCATCTCTACAATCCTCTCCTCCTCTCCTCTCCTTCCTCTCCTCCACCCCTCTCCTTCCTCTCGTCCTCTCCTCTCCTTCCTCTCCTCCTCCCCTCTCCTTCATCTCTCCTCTCCTTCATCTCTCCAGTCCTTCATCTCTCCTCTCCTCCTCTCCTCTCCTCCTCTCCTCTCCTCCTCCCCTCTCCTTCCTCTCCTCTCCTCTCCTTCATCTCTACTCTCCTCTCCTCCTCTCCTCTCCTCCTCTCCTCCCTCTCTACTCTCCTCTCCTCCTCCCCTCTCCTTCCTCTCCTCCTCCCCTCTCCTTCATCTCTACTCTCCTCTCATCCTCTCCTCTCCTCCTCTCCTCTCCTTCCTCTCCTCCTCCCCTCTCCTTCATCTCTCCTCTCCTCTCCTTCATCTCTCCAGTCCTTCATCTCTCCTCTCCTCTCCTCCTCTCCTCTCCTCTCCTCCTCCCCTCTCCTTCCTCTCCTCTCCTCTCCTCCCCTCTCCTTCCTCTCCTCTCCTCTCCTCCACCCCTCTCCTTCCTCTTCTCCTCTCCTCTCCTTCCTCTCCTCCTCCCCTCTCCTTCATCTCTCCTCTCCTCTCCTTCATCTCTCCAGTCCTTCATCTCTCCTCTCTTCCTCTCCTCTCCTCCTCTCCTCTCCTCCTCCCCTCTCCTTCCTCTCCTCTCCTCTCCTCCTCTCCTCTCCTTCATCTCTACTCTCCTCTCCTCCTCTCCTCTCCTCCTCTCCTCCCTCTCTACTCTCCTCTCCTCCTCCCCTCTCCTTCCTCTCCTCCTCCCCTCTCCTTCATCTCTACTCTCCTCTCATCCTCTCCTCTCCTCCTCTCCTCTCCTTCATCTCTCCTCTCCTCTCCTTCATCTCTCCAGTCCTTTATATCTCCTCTCCTTCATCTCTCCTCTCCTCTCCTTCATCTCTCCAGTCCTTCATCTCTCCTCTCCTTCATCTCTCCTCTCCTTCATCTCTCCTTTCCTTCATCTCTCCTCTCCTTCATCTGATCTCTCCTCTCCTTTCCTTCATCTCTCCTCTCATTTCCTTCATCTCTCCTCTCCTTTCCTTCATCTCTCCTCTCCTCTCCTTCATCTCATCTCTCCTCTCCTTTCCTTCATCTCTCCTCTCCTCTCCTTCATCTCTCCTCTCCTCTCCTTCATCTCTACTCTCCTCTCCTCTGCTCCTCCTCTCCTCTCCTTCATCTCTCCTCTCCTTCATCTCTCCTCTACCCCCCTCTCCTCATCCTCTCCTGCTCCTCTCCTTCATCTCTACTCTCCTCTCCTCTGCTCTTCCTCTCTCCTTCATCTCTCCTCTCCTCTCCTTCATCTCTCCTCTCCTCTCCTTCATCTCTCCTCCCCTCTCCTTCATCTCTCCAGTCCTTCATCTCTCCTCTCCTTCATCTCTCCTCTCCTCTCCTTCATCTCTCCAGTCCTTCATCTCTCCTCTCCTTCATCTCTCCTCTCCTCTCCTTCATCTCTCCAGTCCTTCATCTCTCCTCTCCTTCATCTCTCCTCTCCTCTCCTTCATCTCTCCAGTCCTTCATCTCTCCTCTCCTTCATCTCTCCTCTCCTCTATCTCTACTCTCCTCTCCTCTGCTCCTCCTCTCTCCTCCTCTCTCCTCTCCTCTACTTCATCTCTACTCTCCTCTCCTCTCCTCTCCTTCATCTCTCCTCTCCTTCATCTCTCCTCTCCTCCATCTCTCCTCTCCTCTCCTTTATCTCTCCTCTCCTGCATCTCTACTCTCCTCTCCTTCATCTCTACTCTCCTCCCCTCTCATCATCCTCTCCTGCTCCTCTCCTTCTCTCCTCTCTTTCTCCTCTTCTCCCCATCTCCTCTCCTCCCCCTCTCCTTCTCTCCTCCCCCTCTCCTTCTCTCCTCCCCCACTCCTTCTCTCCTCCCCCTCTCCTCTCCTCTCCTTCCCTTCCTCCTCTCCTTCTCTCCTCCCCTCCCCTCCCCTCTCTTTCTCCTGTTCTCCCCCTCTCCTCTCCCTCTCTTCTCCTCTCCTTCTCCTCTCTTTCTCCTGTTCTCATCCTCTCCTCTCCCTCTCTTCTCCTCTCCTGTTCCTCTCCTCCTCTCCTCTCTTTCTCCTCTTCTCCCCATCTCCTCTCCTCCCCTCTCTCCTTCTCTCCTCCCCCTCTCTCCTCCCCCTCTCCTTCTCTCCTTCCCCTCTCCTCTCCTTCCTCCTCTCCTTCTCCTCTCCCCTCTCTTTCTCCTGTTCTCCCCCTCTTCTCTCCATCTCTTCTCCTCTCCTCCTTCTCCTCCACCCTCTCCTCCTCTTCCCCTCTCCTCTCCTCCCCTCCTCCTCTCCCCCTCTCCTCTTTCCTTCTCTCCCTCTCTC